ATAAGCCATGGGCTGCTCTTTGCTGAAACCTTTTTTTGATAGGGTTATTAAAATAATTTGTTTATAATTGGGTACGTAATCTTCACATAATTCCTGAAATCACAATTCCGCTTAAAGCCTCTACTATTCTTGGAAATTTATGCTTAAGCTGAGCTAACATAATTTAATTAGCAGCTTCAGCAGCTCTCTAGCTTTTAATGTCTATTATGTAGTGGCAAAAACTCGTATTTACAAAGAATTCTAATTTGAATACAACGTAACAAAAATGTTGGAATATTAATTGCGCCTTAAATATAGAATTGCCTTTAGCCAAATGTGAAATGTGCTGTTGCTGTTGTTGTTGTTGTTGTTATCAATTGTTAGCCCTCGAGCCACGCTTAACCTGTTTCAATAAGCAGCCTTATTAGATATTCACATTTCAATGAGCAGTCGATGGGCCCAAACTCTTGACCCAAGCACCATCAGTCATCTTGGAGACGCTGTTGCCAGGCAAACAAAATTTGACATAGACAACAAGAGGGGAAGGAAAAAAACATTTATAAACAATTGAAAATGGCTAAAACGTGTGTCGCACTTCTGTGCCAATTGGCAAATTGAATACTCATAAAAATTCTCACGTTTCGCTCCAAATTTTGATGGTAGCACTCGGTCGGTCGGTCGGTCGGCCGGTCGCTTGCTCACTCGCTGCCTTTGCATAGAGCGAGTGGGGGCTTAACGGGGCCATAAAAGCATCGCCAGCCGAAGAACCCGCCAAGCAACCCACTCACAAGTGCCAGCCAGCCAGCCAGCCATTGAACTCTCTGTACACACACGATTATTACGATGGCAAATGTGACCATAAAAGAGAAGAGAACCGAATCCAAAACCAGAAGACTTGTTGCGAAGCGCGCGCCTGTGCGAGCTCAAGAGATTTTTATCAAATTGGCCCGCGGGCAGTGCGAAAGCTTGACGAGATTCTCATTCTGATTCGAGATGCTGATTTCCCTCACTCACAGTCACAGTCTCAGTCAGAGTCACAGGCTTCCTGTGCGTGTGGCATTGCAGATGGACGCCTTGAGGTGTTTGACTTGAGCACTTGGCCCCGGAGCTATGCAAATTTATCAAACAATCCAGTCCCATATGCTGGTGTCGTGTCCCAGAAACACAAAAAACCAGTGGCACTTTTTTTTTTTTTTTTCTTTTTGTTTCATTATATATATATGTATATTTCTAAAGAACCTGCTGATAAAATCGCCTAGCACAGCAGCCCCCACGCTGTGGGCTGTGGCCCGTGGGCTGTGGGCTGTGGGGAGCGGCGAGGGGTGGGCCATCAGTCAAGACAGTGCATTGAACTTGAAACATCTCGCAGTTTTCACTTCAATCCATCAGCAACGCGACGGCGGCCGATTCCAATGACGCGTGTAAAATGTCGGGGCGCGTGTGCCCCCGGGGGAGCCTCTAATGAATGGACCAGCTCCAGCTCAGGCAACAGCAACAGCAACAGCTTAAAAGCAACCGTACAATTTGTATTCGAATGATACGTTTTTACTGCCCTAATGAGCACACGCAACAGCCACAAAATAACGAAAGAGAAAAAAATATATATAAATAAAAAATAAAATAAAAATTTGGGCAGCGAACGAAATGCGAATTTAATACGCACAATTCGCCAATGCAGACTGTTGGCCCTTAATCACTTCTGGTACGTTTTCTTCGAAAGTGTCAAGAGATTTAGCCAAATTTATGGATATTCACTTTTGTTTACTTAACGATCGTTGCGTGCTGCACACACAAATTTTTTAACGATTGCCTTTTGTGCGATTCCAGTTCAATAATTTGACATAGATTTTATGCTTTTCTTTTTGTGTGTAATTTGAAATTTTTTCCGTTTTACTGATGCGCAAAAAAGGCTATAAAAATTACCTTGCTCTAATCTCTTCACGTTCTACTTTCATATTTTGCCTTTGTTTCTCAAAAATTCACCCGCTTTTTATAAAAGTCTTTATCTCTATTGATTATATATCTATGTGATTATCTATATACTTATAAATAAATGTCGGAATTGCTAAGAGGCTCGACAGATAGTCGAAGTTGTTCCTATTTATAGTCTATTTAAAGTGGATTTTTATAAAAAAAAAAAAAAAAAAAACACACACACACACATTAAAATATTAAGTTGTAAAAAAAATGTTTTCAATTGGTTCTATTTATTTTTGTTCATAAAATAAAATAGTGTTGGGTTCATTGTCAAATCGGGTAAATTAAAGACAATATTTGAATGATGAAATTAATTGATATTTTGTTTGAATTTCTAATAATGAATATCGAAAAATTAAGAGTTTTCTGCATTAATTCAAACTATTGATTCACTTAAAAAAAAAAAATAAATAAAAAATATATATTGCGAACAGTATTTCACATTAGCGAAGATTTGTTGGCATCGTTTTAAGCACTTTTCATTTCCCTTGTCTGACAAATTTAATAAAAATATTATCTCTCATAATTATTTTATTTTTTTTTGTGGACATTATTTACCTGAGGCATCGCAAACGTTGCGTAATTAATGTGGGAATCGCAACTAATTGTTGTTAATTAAATTTCTGGCGGCACTTTAGGCTAAGTAGCCAACAGAAAAAAAAAAAAAAATGAATAAAACGAAACAAATAAAAGTAAAAGAGAAAGAGAAAAAGTAGCTAATTTCACGCTTCCTGTTCTGGGGCATTATTTTTATTTTGCATACTTTTTTCCCACTCTGACTAATGCTGACGACACTTCGTCCGTTCGGTTTGCTCCGGAAAGTCGTTGCACTCGCATTTTAACAGGCAAACAAGAATGAAAAAAGTCAATGCAAAACTCGTTATTTGCTTCGTTGCTGTTGCAGACCGCAAATTGCGTTTAAAATGTATCATGAAGTGCAATAAAGTGAGAGTCCCGTCTGTTTATGAGACGGTACTAATTAGTAATTGCAAAGATTGATAAGCTTCTGCTGCTGCCACTTTTGCTCCAAAGGCAAACAGTTGCCAATCACTCACAACCAGCGCATCATTTATGACGTCCACTCGCACCCACGATAAGACGCCAAGCGTCAGCGAGTGCCAATGCAAATAGCGCAATGGCCAAATCTTTTGCTTTTCATTGTTATAAGAGCACAGAGCTGTCCAGATAGGAAACAGTTCGCTGCAGGCCATACAGTCGAGTTAAACAAAAGGCAAAGTGTACATTGCAGATTTCAGGAATCAATTAACAAATGTGAAATCAATTTAATGGATTCTATTATAATTATTTAGCAATACCAAGTGTAATAAAAATATTGAATTGCATGTTTGCAATTCATTTACAATTTTTTATAAAATTACTCTGACAATGGAGTCGAACAAAGGGTAAGCTTAGTTTAACTCGAATGAATGTTAATTAATTTTACAACTAATTTGTTATTGATGTATTATCAAGAACAATTACAAAGTGTATCTATGTATAATTGTATCATAGCAATCATAGAATGAGTCGCTGAAAACTAATTTGGAATATGTTCCTAGAAATACTCAAATGAAATTAAATTGAAAATTTGTTTGCATTAATTTTACAACAAATTGTAGGGCAGTTATTTATAGCCCTCTACATAGATTTTTATTATTCAAAATTCGTACTTACAAACTGTGCACTGAATAATACTTAATTTAATGTTAAACTAGAGAGAATTTAATTGTTCTTAAACTAAACATTTAATGAAGCCCTACAATTAGCTGTTCGATTATTCACTTTTTGGCGAAGAAGCTCGTAATGCTGCCCTGCTTCACTTTGGGTGTCTCCTTTGCGCCTTTTCCAGCTGCCGGCGGTGATTTTTTCTTTGTAGCTGGCGCAGCTGCTGCAGTCGCTGCCTTTTTCTGAACTGGTTGCTTTGGTTTCTTGGCCTTTACCGTTATGACAAAGCCATCATCATCCAGAAATGTTTCATTTGTTGCCGCCTCCACATCCATTGGCTCCTCCTCTGCCTGCGCCAACTTCTCCTCCGCCTGCTGCGGCTTTTCCTTCTCGGCTGATTTCTTTTGTGGCTGCTCCTCATCATCGGAGTCGACAATGCGACGACGCTTGCTGCTTGCTCTCTGCTTTGCGTCCGTCTCGTCTGACTCGTCGCCTGAACCAATCACAGAGCGTCGCAGCTTGTCCAGTTTTTCCTCCTCATCAGACGAGGCTTCGCTTTCCTCAGCAAACAGCTGAACGGAGTTATTCTTCTGTTCGGGCGATGCTTCCTTCGGTGCGCTACTGGTCTGACTACTGCTCGCCTTTGGTTGCTTCTTAAAGAAGTTGTCCATGCCGCCCGCCGCTGGCTTGGCTGCAGCTGCTTTTGTTTCCTTGGCTGGCTGCGATTTGGCAGCTGGAGCTGCGGCAAAGAAGCTGCCGATGCTGCCCTTCTTCGCTGTCGCTGTTGTTGACTTCGCTTTACCCTTTTGATCGCTTGGTGGCGTTTTCTTCTGCTCCTCAGCCTTTGAGGGCTCTTCCTTGATGTTGGCGGGCTTTGGAGTCTCTACTGGCTTATGAACACCATTGCTAACGCCATTAGTTAATGGTTTAACGCCTGACCGCTGGTCCACCTTTGCCAGCTTCACCTCCATATGCTGCATGGGTTTGAAAATGGGCGCAGCACTCTTGGAGCCGCCAGCCACCTCCACGGAATACAGGTGGTATTGCGAGTTTTCCAATTTGCCTAGCCATTCCCTTAATTTGTCATCGCCTTGCACAATCGTATACAGCTCGCCCTCATCGTTTGCCAGTGTGCCATGCACCACAAAGCGTTTCTCGTATTTGATAGCACTCGACTTTTCCTGCTGTTTAATATGCGCCTCAAGCTTATCGTGCGCCTCTTTGTACGTCAATTTGTACTCCTCCAGCAAATCGGTGACCAGCACACGTCTGTCGAAGTCGATGAGGCAATCATCCAAAGCTTGTTGCAATGACATTTTCAGAGAATGTTTACTTGTGTAGTGTATGTAATAATATTATGCAAATTTCGACAGCAAGCAATTGAATTAACAAAATGAATTCGGCTACCGCAGCAAAAAAAGGCGCCGATGCGAACAGCTGTTGAAATTTACTCACAATGGTTACCATTTGAGATGTGCGATACTTGCAAAAATACTCATAATACCTTAACAGAATGTTAGCGGTAACATAATGTTAAAAGCAACAGCGCCGCTGTAGTCGCTAACAGCACTCATGAGCGATTGCGCCAGAGATGGCAACGCTTATTAGTTTGCTGTTAGTTCCATTAAATTAACATAGAGGGCGCTTGAGCTAAGAGAAATGTTACTGCCTGGTGGCTTAACAGAAACTAAACAGTGTCATTAGTTGAACAACAGTGACACCGCTGGTGAATGGCAAGTGATCTTTGGTACAATAAACGATAATATAGATGGCGCTCTGCTAACAGTAATGTTATTGTTTAACTGAATTTAATTTTGAATTAATCCGTTTTTAAATTTAATTAATTAATAATAACATTTCTATTTTTTTCAGCTTTAACATGCGCTTTGAGCCGCTGGGTCAGAAAATGTTCACACGCCGCAATTGGCTGCTGCGGTGCAGCATTCTCATAAATGTGGCTGTTCTGCTCTACATCGGCTGCATCCTGATGAACGGCGGAGGCAACAATTTCACCAGCGGCGGCGGATTTTTGCTGCAGGAGCAACAGCCGCCGGCGTTAGCCTCATTACAGGCTGCTCCACTGCTGCCACAGCAACCGCCCACGTCCAAAAATGTAAGTGTGTGTGTAGAGAGCAAACAATGAATGGGAGTAAATAAATCCTATCCTCTTTCCACAGGCAGAGGCGGCTTTTGCGGAGGAGAAACTCTTGGCCGCCGGCACAGGCAATGCCAATTCAGAGTCAGCCGCAGCTGCAGCACCCGCGGCCGCAGTAGTCAACGACAGTGGCTTGCCCTCCAATGCAGTGGATCCTGTTCAGGTGGTTGGCAACATTGGAAGCAGCAGCTCAATGTCAGAGCTGAACAACACACAGCCGGATAGCTACATAGTCACCGGCGATGAGAAGGAGTTGGATGAGCGCGTGCGGACGCTGCTCAATTGCTTTGATCGCGATTATGATCAGCAGACGCTGCAACGCGGCGATTTCTGGGTGCTCCAGAACTATGTGAGAGCCGATCACGGCGAGATCAAGTGCCACGAGTCCATTACCTATACAACGCATGCGGATTACACCTTTCTGGACAATCTGGTGCCGCTGCTGCAACGGTGAGTGCTCAGATAAGAAGACTCCTCTTTGGTATATTCTAATATTTTTATGATATCCCCCCTCTTACAGCTGGAATGCGCCAATTAGCATAGCTATGCATGCGCCCGGCACGGATTTCCAGCCCACGCTGGACTCCATCAAGTATTTGCGGGATTGTGCGCCCGATAATCAACTGGTGCGCGCCTATGCCACCTTCCACATTTACTTCGGCACCAAGCACATACCCAAGAGCGTGCCCAAGGCACAGGATGCTCTGAAGACTGGCTACAACTGCTCGCTGCCGGCACCCTACTTCAATGTCAGCTCCGGGCACTTGTACAAGGCCCAGAAGAAGTTGCTCTACCCGGTCAATGTGGGTCGCAACATTGCACGCGATGCCGCCCTCACACACTTCATCCTCCCCTCGGATATCGAACTGTATCCGAATCCTGGACTGGTCAAGAAATTCCTCGAGATGATTGCTCGCAACGAACCGTATTTACGGCGCAAGGCGCCCAGGTGAGTTCCTGAATTTATATTTACAACTCGTATTATTTTTAGAAATTTACTGGGATTATTTTTGATATTTTTCTACTGAGAATACTTTTTTTTTTAAATAAATAAATGAAAAGTTATATTTTTCTTTTTTCAAATAATAATACCTTTATATTTTTAATTTCAATTCTTTTGTTTTTTTTGTACAACAATCTTCAATAGGCTGTAATAATAATAATATAATAACAATAATAAGCTGTAAGCTTTTAAGAAATACTTATATATTTCCGAGTTGAATATTTAGCTTAATGACAAGTATTTCAATTCAAACTCTAATCAAATGGCAATCGTATGCTTTCGCAGAGTTTTTCCATTGAGCATATTCGAGGTGGATGAGAACTCACCGGTGCCGCACGATAAGACGGAGCTGCAGGAGTTTCTGCGCACCGGGAAGGCCATACCCTTCCACAAGCGGGTGTGCGCCAGTTGCCACGGCGTGCCCAAGTCAAAGGAGTGGATGGCGGCCAACGAGACGGACGAGCTGAGTGTGTTTCACATAGGCAAGCGCACCGGCTACTATGTGCACTGGGAGCCCATTTATATTGGCACCCACGCGGATCCGCACTACGATGAGCGGCTCAGCTGGGAGGGCAAGAGCGACAAGATGACGCAGGTAAGCGCGCTGAGATCCTGATATCCCGATAGCAGTCGCAGTTGCATTCAATCTGATTCGTGCAGGGTTACTCGCTCTGCGTGCTGGACTACGAGTTCCACATACTGGACAACGCCTTTTTGGTGCACAAGCCGGGCATCAAAGTGCTGAAGAAGGACAATCGGCGCGCGATGCTGGCGGGCAAAACGAATCAGCTGATACGCAAGATCATCTATCCCGAGCTGAAGATCATGTACGGCATGCGCAAGGGCTGTGCGATATAGTAACTAATCCTGAAGCACAGTTGAGCGTCGCCTTCTTCAAGACTGCAGCCGCAGCTGCAACGGCTGCACAAGCAAAGGCAGGAGGAGCGAAACACACTATTTATATTCGCAATGCTATAGAGAGCGAGAGGCACTGGATCGAGTGGCCATGCCATGCTAATGTCTCCTTCTATCCTATATATATATCTATTTCCTAGAGGCCCTTCCTTATGGCGCGCTCGTCTACGTGTACATGTGTATGTGTGCGTGTGCGTGTGCGTGTGCGAATGTGTGTGCTTGTGTGTGCGTATGTGTGAGTACGTTTTACAGTTAGTATTAGTTAGTTAGCTTAGGCCTAGAGAATTACTTAGGTTTATGGACGAGTCGAGTTCGGAGCGGGTGTTTTTTTCTACTCTATATGCATAAGCGAAGCCTTAGGAGCACGGCTTAAGTACGTTAAACGTAGTTAGTTGTTGTTGTTTCATTTTTAAATACTGAACATAATTAGAGTTAGTTAGTTAGCCGGAGCTGCCATACAGCTGAAGTTACTGAAGTTACTCGAAGATTCTATAGAGTTCACATCATTTCCATGCAATGCAGCCTCCATACGAGCGCAGAGAAATCCAATCTTTGCAATCGCACACGCTGCATTGGCAGTCATTATGATTTAGTTCAACTTCCAATTATCGTTTAAGCATCATTAATGTAATTTCATTATAATTTTAATTTAGTACTTCCCCTTAACCATATTTTCATAAGAAATAAAGATGATAAATCCCCCATTATTGTATACCAACTGCCATTGAATGGTTGTTAGGTTGATTTGCTCTTCGAGACAAATGGAAATTCCTAGCCACAATAGTCTAACCATTTATATATCTAAATATGTGCATATGCAATGTAGGCCAACATTTGGGGCCTTCCACTAGGCCGAAGTTCTCAGAGTTTAAGTTGCAAAGCGAATATACGAATAAAGTGTGGGGGCAACAAATAGGCTTAGACAACTAGTGGAAGTTAGTCTTAGAGCTAGACAGCCGCAATTTAAATAGTGAAAACAGAAAACAAACAAAAGCCGCTACAAAATAAAGGTTTAACACGTTTAATAGACTTGGGAAACGTTTAAAATTAGAATGCTGAACAATTGAAGAATACATATAATGCATACAGACTTACGAGTATATAGATATATACATATATATATATATATATAGATCTAAAAGAAGAAGAAGACGAAGATAAATTACAATTACACAGAAACCTTGATGAGAATGATGTTCAAGTTGAATGCCTAAAATTAAACAATTAACGAAACAATTAATTAGAAATACGTTTTCAACCGTAATGGGTAAATGCAAACCGTGATATTTGTACTAGTAAAGGCGATGATTAGTTTGAGCATTAATTTAGTAAATATATATACACACATATATATAAACTTAAGCAGTATGAAACGAAGCGAAGAGTTGAAGAAGAAGTAGAAAAACAATGGAAAAAGAAACCATTACAACTCCGGAAAAATCATATGCATTAAACTAGTTTTGTATATGCTTTTTTTTAGTGTTGAACTTAAAGTCAAACTTGTGCACATATAAATGTTAAAAACATAACGAGAAGTATAGACAAAAAGCACATGCTTCAGCCGTGGCATGGACGGGGAGTTGTTGTTCAGGCCTTAAAAGAACTACTATATAGGAATTACGGGCGCTTTTTTTAGAGTTGGCAGATTTCATAATTTGCGGTAGAGCAATTGTCGTGTGTGGGAAAACATTTTTTGCGAGTGTCTTGGGAACAACATACAAAAAAAAAAAAAAAAAAAAAAAAAAAAAAAAAAAATTAAAAAAAAAAAAAAAAA